TAATTAAAAATGTTAATATTTTAAAGAGGATAATTAATGAGGTAAAATTAATATGGTTCATTTTTAGTTATCTTTTTTTATTGTCTATTGTTTACCATTTAAAGTTTTTAACTGTACATTTCCTGCTTTCTAGCATGCCTTTTCTCTAACTGCCAATTCTTATGTAGTCATTAAATCTAATAAATTGTACTGTAAGCCTAAACAAGCACTTTGTTTAGCTCTGCTATTGTGTGTGGTTGCATACTCTAAAACAGGGTTTTGTTTTTTGTTTTTTTCCTGTGTATTTTTTTTGCTGTTTTACACTTATTTTTGATTACAGATAAGTCACCTGATGCTGGTGTATATAATAGTTCTTATTTTCTCCACTAAGAGAAGTAGATTGTCCCTACTAGTTTTGCCTTATTAGTTTATCTGCCATCCTATGCCAGAACAACTTTTGGATCTGGTGGATTTCAGCTGGTCATGGCCTAATCAGAGAGAGATCTAATGTACTTACTCCCCTGAGTGTCAAGGAATCACAAGTATCCATTTGTCCATTCCTTATTTATTTATTTTTAAACCGTTGTAGCTTGAATGCCTCAGCACCTTAGAGTATGAAATTGGGGAAACATGTATGAAACTTCTTTTCAGGTCCAAGTCACCATCTAAGCAATGACATAAACAAAGTAAAAAATAACCGGCATTCTGACCCAGCTTTGTGCTCCTTCCTCTTTTCATTTGAGTTTGTTAAACCTGCTTCATCAGTTTCCTTTTCTAGAATTCACTTTTTTGTTTTATGCCTCTTCAAAATACTCAAGTATTCCTTTTTTTCTTGACTAAGGGTATCATCCTGGAATCAGTAGGACTTCACAGTGCTAAAATTCCTGTTAGGATAATAAAAGAGAAATTTTTTTCTGAAATAATCTTTGGTTTTTTGTTTTTTGGTTGGTTGGCTTCTTCATGGTGACAGAAAGCATACTCTTTTCTTCATCGTTTGTTTAGAATCCAAGGATGTGGATATATAAACTCATATAATGATGATGAATTTGTATTGCTTGCTACCAACTTTATGGGTGGAATATGTTAATATCTATTAAAATTAAAAAGATGTGCTTATCTTTTAATCCAATAGCACTTCGAGGAATTTTTTTTTTAGAAATGAAAGGATAGATATGTATGTATATGCATGTATCTGTATGTGCATATGAATGCACATATTTATAGCGTCTCTGGTAGCAAAAACTGGAAGAACTTTAGTTGCCATTGATGGAAGTAAGACAGGATCTCATGACATCCATCCACCAAATATTATTCAGCTTTTCAAGAATAACTAATTAGGGCCGGGCGCGGTGGCTCACGCCTGTAATCCTAGCCCTCTGGGAGGCCGAG